TGTTATCATTATTATTGTTATTATTATTATTGTTATTGTTATTTCTAAACATCATAACTTATTTTTGGTCCTGCCTAACTAAATTTTGTAATATTTTATTTAACATTAACCTAACATAAAGACTAGTGTTACTTGTAATGATAAAACTAAATGATAATTCATTTGAAAACCGTCAACATCTCTTTGGCCAAACAAAGAAGTAGAGACTGCTTGCTTTGCTCTGTACCTCCACCCAGTGTACAGGATATTATTCCCTATTCACAAATTCAGTTCTATTTCAAAGTGGTATGGATACTGTTACATGGGGAGAATATCTACCTTGAGTGAAAGTTTGTTGTTGAGGAATGTTCATATTTGTTAGAAAATGTCTTTAGTGGGGCCCTGTATACAAACCTTGGTAATTGTACTGTAAGTTAAGTTATAAGTGTAGTTACATGCAGTTGTGTAGTATTTTAAGGATCAAATAGATATAATATATTTCTTTTCAGGAATTGTGTGCTCCTCACCCACTCACTGGCTGTGAATGCTTAATCTGTTTGCACCTCTCCAGTGACCCTGACTGTCACCTGTATGCTCTCACAACTGAGTATGTCCTGCATTGTGTGAATTAGTTATTACCACAAAAGCATTACATTTTTCATGACAAATTTCTCTTTGTCATATGAGTATAAGTATAGGAATGTAAGTTATTGTACTTGAAGAAAATTACTGTTTCATAATACAAATACTTCAAGAGTATCAGTACTAGACGTCATACTTTCAGCACTGTAGTCCAGTTGTATATTTAAATTCACTTTCAGGGAAGGAGCATTACTGCCTCCAGGGAGTCGTGTGCTGGTGCGCGGGGATCACGTGGGCACTGTGTTGTATCTTGGTCATGACAAGTACCCCACAAAACAGATGGAAAATTACTTTTGGCCTTCACAAGAGCCAGCTGAGAATAGTAATCACCAAGCTATATCAGAAGAAAGAATGGAAACTGGCATAAATATTGCAGAAGATGAAGTTCCTCCATGTGTGCCTGTCAGACCAGTGGGTGTAACCATCAGACTTTGGCCACCAGGTATGTATCACAGAACACTAGAATAACAGTAGGGTGTATAAATTTATGTATGTTAATCTTCCCTCTGATTTTCAACTTGCATTGATGTATACACTTTTATTTCAGATGCTGGGCAAATGTTTGTACCTCTTAGTGCCGTTATCTGTCAGTTGGATGATGACCAAGATGCTGTTCTGAGTGAATTGCACAATCAAGAATATGAGTACATGGATGAAGACAGTGAAGACTCTACCCCGTCGAGGACAAGTATAACTTATGAATATCCCACAGAGTTCCCATCACTGCCAAGTCCTTCAGTTCATGCAAGTGCAGAAGAAAACAGACCTCCATTACCTTCATTCCGAGGTTCTAGCAAGTCTAAAGATTCATGTGAAACACCAGTACGTAAAGCATCATTGGAGGGCTACTTCATACGCTCTCCGAGCATCTCGTCATACAACTCTGATTCTACTCGGAGCTTAGGAGATCTGTCTGTTTATGGCCTGGAGTACCAGGAGGATGGAGTTGGTTTTGAGGAAGGTGTTAGTCTTGAGGATTCCACCCAGAAAAGTTTTCTAAGGCAGAGGAATTCACGCTCTTCAATCGTTCTGTCACAGCCGCCATGTGATCAAGGAGTAGGAAGCCAGGAAAATTCTAGTTCTGGTACTTCATCCTTGAACGCCACATTTATATACAGGTCCGTAGATGAAGAAGGTTCTTGTAGTCCCAAGGATTCAGGGGAATGTGCCTCTCTGTATGACACTGCCGACTCAGCAATTAGCCTGACATTCATGAAGAGATACAAAGAATCACTGGGTAGTACAGAGCCCTCAAGCATGTCAGACACAGACAGAGACTCTCCTCACTTTGGAGACACTTGGGACTCTGGATGTTCGATGGGAAGAGGGAGATGCAAAAGCGATTCTTCCGGCCACTTTTCCGACGTGGATTCAGAGAGCAGTCGGTTTGGATCGCCCTGGGTGAAGAACCTACGAGATGCTCTGGACTCTGTGTGGGCAAGGCAGCAGAATTCTAATTATAATAGAAATTACGATTCTAGAAATAAAACGGAACCTTCAAGAAGAAAGGGGAAGAAGGCCTGTGGAAATCACTTGGACTTTTTCAAGAACAACAGGATAACCAAGATTTACATTGATCATAGGTAAGGTGTCCATATGTTTGTGTTTAGTTCATGAACAAAATTTTTAGTACAGTTTAGTATTTTATATAAAGTTATATGTATAGTGAGATTTTTTTATGCCAGTGATCCAATATTATTGTCTTCTCTCTCTTTTTGTTTTTTCTCTTTTTTTCTCTTTCTCCTCTTTTTTCTCTTTTTTCTCACTTTTCTCTCTTCTCTCCTCTCTTTTTTCTCTTTTCCCTCTTTTCTTCTCTCTTTCTCTTTTTTTTTTCTCTCTCTCTCTCTCTCTCTCTCTCTCTCTCTCTCTCTCTCTCTCTCTCTCTCTCTCTCTCTCTCTCTCTCTCTCTCTCTCTCTCTCTCTCTCTCTCTGTTAATGTTTTTGGCAGATGGGAGCATGCTTTTGCTGTAATTCCCAAAACCTGAGAATTACATTGTCTTGCTTGAGTGCAGTAAAGCCCCATTTTTTTTTGTCTCAAAACGAATTTTAAGTATATACATATATATTCTTTAACATAGGTCTTGCCCATGTTACTTGAAGTAAGGTAATAAAAAAGGATAAAGGAACAAAAAAGATCATATAGGCTGTTGTGGTTAAACTAATTGAAAAATGAAAAAAGTATGTGTATTATTTTCAGGTTTCTACATTTGAAATTGTTATTTTTATTTTTTTTATTGTTTTTTTTTCAGCACAACAGAACATTCCCAGGTCTAGGAATCAGGACCATAGGAGACCCTTCTGCTGCAGTTATTTTTTAGTCATTGAAATCTATAGGTGTTTAAAAGTATATATATTGTGTTCAGTCACCTTTTTTATTATAGGAAATATTTTTTGTTTTATATTCTTGTGTTTAGATGGTTAAGCACATATTACTGCTAAAACCTATTTAACAAATAGTTGAAATGCAGTCAAGTCCACAGATGAAACCAATGGTTTATTTATAGAATTCATTGTGTATATATTTTTATTTCTATGTATATATATTTATGCATGTGTATATATATATATATTAACATGTTTATGCATACTGATATGTTTATGCACATACACTTACATTTTCCAAATAAGTTTTCTGTATCTGGATATATATTCTAACTCTTGTTTTATGATAACCATGTTTTGTGTTATTTTTATGCAGAAAGATTCATGAACAGGGATAGAGAAGTATAGGTTGATTAGCAACAGCATTAAAATATTTTATTGTAACATCTTTTATTCACTTTGTTGATGTGTGCTTGAAAACTACATTGTTTCTTTTTGATATTCATCTATTTTATTCTTTTAAATCTCCACGTTTGAAATGAATCACACATTATATATTTAAAAGGACATGAGCTGCATTTTGTTTTTGTATTTCTAGATCAGTACCCATGGATTTTAGTTTTTGTCACATCTTTCTGCTGTGAGATACACTGGGAAAGATTGAACTAGTCATTTGCACATGATTTTTTTTTGTTTCTTTTCTTTTCTTTTTTTTTTGTAAAGATTTCACTTATTAGTCTTCAAAATTTGTTAATTCTGGAAAATGTATGAGGACAATTTGTTTGATATTGTCATATTGTACTTTTGTTAAGAATCCATTTAATTAGTAAGATTATTAATGATTTTTATTTGTGGATAAAAATTCTGTGTACAGCAGAATGAATAAATATTGAAGCATTATGATTCTATGGTGCTAGTGAGTGTTGCCTTGGCAGACAGTGATATTAGGTTAGTTTCTTTTATTTTCATTATGGAGCTGTATTTCATAAGGTTGCTAGAAGATTGCAGTTCAAGCATATTTTAATGACACTGAACTAAACCATGTTTATTTCTTCTAGTATCATAGAAGGTATATTTTTATGCATGCATTTTTTTTTCAATAAAGTGATGTTTTTATTGTTTTGTTTACATTTTATGTGTAAAAGTATACAACATATTCATTAGCTCTTTATTATTATGTACATACTGGATTACATACAAGGTATTTCCACTCAAAAGTTTCTGTATAGTAACTCAGGATAATAATGGGAAATAATTTAGTAAATATTACAATGAACCATCTTTTTAACTAAGAAGGTAACAATCCTGGGAATCAAAATAACACATTATACATATAAAACAAACGTATTTTGCATATACAGCAAATGTACACTTATATACACAATTACATACAAAGATAAGCAAGAAATGTAAATACTGTATTTACAAAGGAAGACAAGGTATAAAGGCTAATCAAAGGATATATATTTTATATATTATGAAAATGTAGCTCATTTTCACCTTATTTTTTCCATAAATATGATAAAACTTTCAGGAAAACTAACATAATACGTCTTTAGTAAAAAATGCATCAAACACAGATATGTCCAATGATTACTATAATCTTTACAATGTGTCCTAATGCCACTTTTGATGCAGACAATCACTTCTAACTGGTATGAGATACTTGCATGTAGAAATGTTTCTTTAAGAGAATTGCTTAACCAATATATGTGAAACGATTAGCTCATGTGATAAAACCACATATCTTAAATCCCCACTCAAATTTTTACACAAGCCTCTTAACATTCGCCACTATAGGCAATAGCAGTTTGAAGTTGTTGTTTTTCTAATCTCATATTCTATCAAAAAGCAACACAAGAACAATTTTTCAAATCAAAATACAAGTACTTCTATAATAAGATCTATATGCTTAATTCTTTGTGAATGTAAGTCTTAACATGCTTGAAGAAAAAGTATTTCGTACTATGTATGCTAGATCCAGTAGCTTCAGGAATACTGTCCAAATAATGTATGATTATATATATTTCAGCTAAAGCATAATAGTATTCAGAATATATTGACTGGACACATCATACAATTTACTGGCTACTTCACTTATCAATGTGCTTAGATAAAGTTATTTTGGACAACTTCTACTGTAACGACATACTGAAGATATTACTCGTCAGACATTATAGATATTTCGGACATCAGGCAAGTCGAACAGCAATTCATTTATTTATGTACAGTAAATTTCAAGAATTCATTTTCAGTGTGTAAGTTATGTGGTTTATTATGCTTCAGATTTCCCTTTGTCTGTATTTTGATGTACTGCATGTGTAACCTTTACTCCTAATTATCAAGGAAATGTAATAATGGTCCACTTCTTTGAAATAATACTGATTTTGTTGAGAGTACCTGATACCTTAAAACAAGTTTACATGAAGAGGAAAAGAAACAGCTAAAAGACTGAATACTTCAAAGTGAATAGGCAATTTCCAAGAAGAAGTTATCGCAAAATAACATTGCAGTCAATAAGGGAGTCTGCTTTAAGCTTGTCTCGAGAAGATGAACGCTTGAAAGGATTCCAACTGTTTCGCTTGTCTTTATCGCGTGAATTTGAAATAGTAGAACTATTGACAGAACCATAGTGACTGCTATTGCTGCTGGTACTGCTATTGCTGCTGCCACTGCTGCTGCCTGTACTACTGACTCCACTGCTGCTACTCGTGGTAGAGTGGGGAGAGATGTCCTTGAGACTCTTGCTCTGCAATGATAAAATTAGTATTAATAGTGTTTGTGGAACCAGATAATACCTACAATCATAGATAACCTATCATTAAAACAAGTAATGCATTAAATAGTAAATATTCTATCAACATCTAACTAACTATGAAGTATCATATATGCAGCTAAATACAGTTACTATACACTACAGGAAAAACAAACAATTGAGACATGTATTGCATAAAAAATCATTTTCTGAACACATTCAGCATACTTACTTTGGGTAATTTGTAATAGGTCTTATCACAAGGAGTGACGAGAGTGAGGTTGAGTGTGTTTCCAGCTTCACGAATAAGCCCAACAACCTCATCATGTGGCATCCATTTCACATCACGGGTTCCAATGCACACCACAAGGTCTCCTTCATTGATACCAGCTCTCTGAAAGACAATATTTTATTAAGAAGAGAATTGACGAATATGGTACCCAGAGAGAGACGAATGTAATTCAAGGACTTTCAATTTTCTATTTAAGAATACTATCAAGATTACAGGACTTTATCCAATTTGTTTATACATTTTTCTTCGTTCTATCATTCTCTATATGACTATCTATTGTTTCTCTTTTTTTCTATCATTCATTCACAACGCACTACAAGTATGGCGTGTTTACCTCTGCCAAACTATTCCTGTCAACGCCAGCTATAACGACAGGAGCATCGCCTCTCACTGAGAACCCAAAACCTTGAGTGGGAGTTCTGGTTAGCTTAATAGGTCGAGGTGCTGACCACTGGTGCTTGGCTGAGAATACAGCAACGGGTCCCAGGAGTTTGAACAGGTCTTCTACCCGGTGTTGGGAAAAGTCTGGGGTAGTCAGGGAAAGCTGTACTTTGGTTGCCGCTGTTGGGAAAGAAAGACTCAATGTTAGCTTTCTCAGAACATTTTAAGTGCTTATATATTGTCAGCTCACACACGCATGCACTTATACATACACGTGTATACTAGATGGTTATTGCATTTATTTGTGCATGTGTATATGTACATATTTATATATGCATGTATGTACATATTTATGTATATACGCATATATGTATATATACATACATGTTTGTATATATATACATTTTGTAAGTGTGTGTGGAGGTGTGGGGGTGTGGGTGCATGCATGCTTATTCAAATAAATTTTAAATAGCTTATAATCATAATGAAAAAGGCATATATTATAAAAGGCCTCAAATAAATGCCTTACGTGATATCGGTGGCGGATCAAGTATGTTCAGAAGATCTTCCTCCTCCACATAGAGGTCAAGGAGGTGGACCGCTGTTTCATGGCCAATGTGCAAGACTTCTGCGAGGACCGACTTCTTTTTTAGGTCTCGACACATCCTGTGTTGCCGCATTGCCTCCTCGTGAACTAAAACTGCCTCACGACAATGAGCCAGACCTGGGGAACAGATGAACGTGGAAAATGAGTATTCTATCACCACGGTCAGCAAGAGTATCAATAGGGAGTCAATCAATATAATCATTAAACTGATATTTCTATTAATGATAAGTACTTGGTTACTGCATTGCTAAAATGTGTGTCATTATTGCACTATATTTCTGTGCGGACGGTGGCACTACTAAGCATGAAGGGGAAGCGACGCCTACCGAGGATGGTGCGTTCTCTCCGGCAGCTTGGGACAGTGATGTCAATGGTGGTGGTGTTGTTCGATGGCGGGAGATGGAAATACTGCAAAGCCTCGCGGACTCTCATCCCTATGTGTTCCTCCTCTTTGATGCTGCACGGGAGGGTGAGTAGCGCTTCAGAGATGTGGTAGTGGGAACAAGCGCGGTAGTAGTCAGCCTTGATGTGAACTAAGCTTATCCACGATGCCGGAACGTAGCCTTTCACTGCTGGGTCCGATATTGTTTTCAGCACCTGGGAGAAAGAACACAGAGGCGTTAAAAGATATTTTTCCAACATTCATAGAGCTTACGGCTGAGGTTACTGAAAATTACTAAACATTGTGGAATTATAGTCCTAAACAGATGTAGTTCCTTGACTCAGTGAGATTTTTTTTTCCACCAAAAGCGCTGGGCATGTAATTGCACCTGAACTAGTCCCATGCTACAACTTTTACGACGATCCGATTTCTCGATGATAATTAACACACACTCCTCCCACGATATACTATTAAAATGACAAAACTGCATACCTGCGAATACTCTTGAGCAACGTTGGCTGCCTCTTGTGACAGTTCCACCACGGTTTCGAAATCCTCGCTGTGGCCGAGCAGGGCTTTCTCGTGGAGACATTCTCGTGCTTGAGCCTGGCGAAGGAGAAGGCAAATTTAACACGGCATTTACTCGGAAGGCATTCGCGATTTAATGTTCCGAGCGTCCGACGACCCCTTCCCCTTAAGACAGGCATTGAAACCCACTATACCCTTACCAGCATGAGATGAATGAGCATGTCGAGGATCTCCGGACTCAGGTCTTTGGAAGGGGCGTTGGTGAAGGTGTCGTGCAGGTATCGGAACATCCCCGCCGCCCGGAGGAAGTTGTTGACGGCCGCGTCGAGTCCTGCCGCCGAGGTCCTGTCGTGGCGAGCCCCCAGCTGCGTGTACAAGGCCCCGAGGTTGAAGAGGACGCACGCTTTCTCGAAGGCCACCGTCCTCTGGCAGCTCGGGGTGCCAGTCAGCGAGTCGTACCTGGAATACAAGAGAGCGGTTTTACACATAGTTCGTAGGAAAAAAAAAGAATCATTATTAACTTAAAACATAATGGATCACTTTTCACTCTTCACGACGATAAACCTACCACTCGAAGTAGATGCCAAGCGAGCGGTCCGGAGGAAAGAATCTTCTGTCGATGAAATAGAGCTGATTGAAGTACTCGAAGAGAAGACCCACTCCCGAGTCGTCGCGCTCCGGAGTTCGCATGGCCTGAAACGCAAGGAAATGTGATCACTGCTAAGCAAGCGTTTCTGCAACCTATTAATTAACTTTAACATATCCCTTTCTTATTTCTTAAAAAAAAAAAAAAACAAGCACAAACATGCCTATGGAACTTGCTTAAGTAATATTTCATAAACCATCTTGCTTCCAAGATATCACTACACAAGGCGCCTAAAAGACAGACAGACAGACAGACAGACAGACAGGCAGGCAGACTGGCAGACAGACACACACGCACACACACAAGCACGCACGCACGCACGCACGCACGCACGCACACACACGCACACACACACACACACACACACACACACACACACACACACACACACACACACACACACACACACACACACACACACACACACACACGCACACACACATACATCCAATGAGAAGATACACATACATATACATGTTTTATTTTTCGTATTCCTGACACTTACCCCTCTGAGGTCCATGAACTCTGTGATTGGCTCATCATACTTGTCTGGTTCCTCGCTGTAGTGTTCTAGTATGAAATCCTGTGGGAAGGTAAAATGTAGTTAGCAAAGCGTAACAAAATGTATGAAATCCTATCAAAATGTGTGTGAGAGGGAGGAGAAGGAAAGGGAAAGGGGGGAAAGGGAGGAGAGAGGAGAGAGAAGGGAGAAGGGAGAAGGGAGAAGAGAGGAGAGGAGAGGAGGGGAGAGAAGAGAAGAGAAGAAGAGAGTATATATTCACACAGAGAAACGTGCCCTAACATCATACACCATACAAACAAACCAACATATCCCTACGCCATCATGATCACCACCAAAGAAAAGGCCTCCCAAAAACAACCTGAAAGTCCCTGAACTCACCTTGAACGGTTCTCTGAAGTCGATCTCCTTCGTCTCCTTCAGGCCCAAAGGGATCATGGGGATGTTACCTTTCGACCTGAGAATAAAACAAACAAACAAATAAACAAATAAATAAAACGAATAAATAAATAAACAAAGAAATAATCACAAATCTTAACAAAAAATAGACTCAATTATTCCTCGAAATCCTTGCTGGTCGGATTTAATTTCCCTCTTAAAACAATGTCAATGTAACCGATTCATAAATAGACCTCCTTAATGAATGCCAAGGTAACTGGTCCACAAATAACCTCCTTAATTAGTGACATTGTAATTAATTAATTCAGCCCCCCGTAATGAATGCTAATATAATTAACTGATTAAAAAACATCAAAATCAATGCTACAGTAATTAATTCACAAGCTGCACAAACAGCTGAGTCGCGCAGCACACTTACTGCGTGCCCTGGTAGACCTCCACAGAGCTGTTCAGTTCTGCAAGCTGTTCTTTCAGGAGTTGCAGATTGCTGTTTACAAACTGTAGCTCCAAGGCCACCTGCTCCTTCATTCTCTTGTTGTGTGTGGCGCTGAAACGGAGAAAGGAAAAAAAAGGGACGTTAATACAGGGTGTGACAGTTAAGTTATTACTTCGTGTTTGTCAAGATTCGCCAAGCATTTGCATGTGTTTCCGCACCGCACTGATCAAGGCCGTGTCATTTCTCACTCATGCATTTTTACTTCGAAATCGAATGTGGGAATTATTTCTTACACTAACATCACTTTATATTTCGCCAAAAAATGAATTCTGTCAAACTCTACACGGGTATTATCTTCGCCATGTATGCAACCGTAACATACTGACGTGGTCTGCATCACATCACGTAATCTAAAACAGTAACTTTTTTTTCCCTCTTTTTAAAATGACTCGCGTCACGACCCACGCCAAACATAACACAGCCAAACCAAACTTACTGTAAGGTCACATATCACCATCAATCCAGAGATTAAACACGTTAGATCGAACATCTTAGACCGGCGTCGCTCTTGGCCGGAGCCTCGAGCGTCACCCTCGCGTCCCGCCCGCGCCTTCCGTTACTCCTCCTCATGCCTGGGCGTCACGTCACACCCGCCCGCCCGCCCGAAACGCGCTCATTAGTCCCCTCCGCTGCACTCTGGCGCGGAGGACAGATTCGGAGCTGCGTTCAAATCGCAGAAGAGATGACATTTCTTCAAGGTTTGACGTGGAACGAGGCCGACTTTTTTCACACCGGAGGAAATAGAAAAAGGCAATAAAGTGCGAAAAAATGACATCGCCCTCATCATCAACCTCTCCTTCCGTCCCACCCTGTCTCCTTTTCCTCCCTCCATTCCTTCCTCTTCCTCCCTCTCGACTCGACCGCCGGCAGCCCCTCCCCGCGCAGAGGAAGCCAAGCAAAGGCGCCCCTGCTTCCTCCCGGACGAGCAGACAGCCAGAAGCCTCCCGGGCACGACGCGCCCACCAGGAAAACGTGTTTGTTGCTAAACACTAAAATTCGTGCAGCGTCGACCGCCGGCCAGCCCGCCCGCCCATCGCAGGGGTGCCTGAACTCCCCCGGCTTTATATAAGCAGTCGTAAACCCTTCAGCCACAAAGCATGGCGATAGAAGGTGCGATCTCATCTTCCGTCCACAATGTGTCCTCGTAAAACGCTACTCAGAGATGATATAAAGTGTGTAAAGTTCACATTTACCGATCAATCCAAACACTACCGGTTACTGCCACTCATCCCCCGAGGGCCAAATAACAACTGCCGACTGAATGGCGAAAAAATGACTGGCATTTCAGTTCCCTCGGCGATAACAGACGTACTTCCGAGTCCGTCGACAATGACAGCTTCCTCGGCGAGAAGTCCGCCTCGTCGAGAGCTTCATCCACCCCCTCTCGCGGCCCGGGGAGCCCTCTGGCCAAGGACTTCCTGGTGCGCTCGAAGGACGCACGCAGGAACTTGAGGGTGGAATGAACCCATGAATTAATCACGCCTCGAGCTCTTATCTCCACCAAGGGTCCGACTCGTAAAAAAAGAAGAAAAAAAGCTGTGCCGCCCCTCGCTGGCCGCGCTTCCTACCAGGGTTCGCTCCTCCCTCGAGGGCGGAAGAGGCCGACGCAGCGGAGGCAGACGGAGGCAAACAAGCACTGGCGAACCGCTCGAATGAATCATCGAGATGCGAATATCGGTCATGGTCTATCTGGAATGCACGCGGCGCTAATTCGACCCTTACCGCAGGGGTTGCTAGGGTCGCCACTCGCTTCCCCCAAACATCCCATCGCCTGGCAATTGCTGTGCAAACTGTTGTGGCATGACTTTGACCCTCCGGCGGCGGCGGCGGGGGGGGGGGGGGGGGCCTGTTTACCTGCCACTTGGAGGTCGATCTTGCTCAAATCTCGCCAAGTAAATCCTCGCGAAAGTTTCACATCATGAATGTTCTGTCGTGGTACGTCCTTACGCCACGTCACATAGCAACATGATTACGTCAGCGACCGGGGTACGCACGGCCGGCATACCACGGCACAAACGTGTACTATTAGTAAACACCGCGGTTTGGGATGCACACGAGAGAACAGTGGGGAAACAGGAAGAACATCTGGAAGTTTACGGATGACGGAAGAGAGAATGGCTTGAGAGTAAACCATGGATAAGAAAAAAAGAAAGAAAAAAAAACGAAGGCTTTGTTTACTCTCCGATTTTCGTCTTTCCTGGGAAGCGACGGCCATTTTCGTCAGATGGCATTCTTGGACTCTGAATCCTAATATATCAAGTGCAATTTTGAGCCATCGCACTCCGCCGTCTCTCCGCAATACCGACCCAGAGCTCCAACAGAGGCAGAGTAAAGCAAATGACCCGCCGCATACCCGCCGCCCAAACGTCATCGTCCCAGGAACCCGGAACGAGAGAAGTCCCGATAAAGGTTATGTTATTCCGCGCACAAAAAAGGAGGCGTGGCATCCACAGCCGACCGCAGGAGCTCGGAATCCCCGATAAGCCTGGATAAAACGGCGACCGGCCTTCGAGACAGGTTCTGGCATCGCGGCGGCCTTCCTGACCCTGAGGAGCGCCGACGTCCAGAAAACCGACGACGCGACGGAACTGCGGAACCTCGAGTCAGCGCCGACGCCCCCCCTCCGTGAGCATGGTCGCTCCGTCGCCGTCGCAGAATAAATGCGGGGCTGCCGATGGCTCCCGAATCTATGTCATGGCTGCGGGCACCGGGATGTGACGAGCGAAGGTACCCGTGTGCCGAGTGCTGTCACCCCCTCCCTCCCCTCCACCCCCTCTCTCCCATCCACCCCCTCTCTCCCCTCCACCCCTTCTCTCCCCTCTTCCCCCTCTCTCCAGCAGATTATAAAATTCCGTTAAATCGAGTCGCAGGGACGTTTTGTCTCCTCCGCATTACATTGTTCCTGTCGTCATGCTGGTACTGAACGTTTATGTTTTTTTCTGCTTTCACTGCCGAGAAAGCGTAACAGACGAACACGACTGATCTTAAAAAAAGCATAAAAAATAACCTTTAAAGTTGTTTTTCACAAAGGGCATTCTTCTCTCTCCTCCGCTCTCGTATCTCCCAGCATCTCTCCTTGATTTTATCTTTACCTCGCTTAAAACCCCTCCAATACATTACCAGCTCTTTGTTCCTTCTCTGAGGCCTAACGAGAAAAATATATTAGCCTCGCGTGGAAAGATGGAGGAGGGAAGTTCTTACTCCAGGCGGCTTGTGAGGTTCAGGCGATTGTCCACACGGGGAAACATGCATACACACACACACACACACACACACACACACACACACACACACACACACACACACACACACACACACACACACACACACCCACACACACCCACACACACACACACATAAACACACACACACACACACACATAAACACACACACACACACACACATAAACACACACACACACACACATAAACACACACACACATACACATAAATACACATATAAGTACACACACATAAATACACACCCCCACACACACATAAATACACACACACACATAAACACACACGCACACGCACACTCACACAGAGCTGTTCACACACACACACACACACACACACACACACACACACACACACACACACACACACACACACACACACACACACACACACACACACACACACACACACACACACACGCACACAGAGCTGCACAGAGCTGTTCACACACACACACGCACACAGAGCTGTTCACACACACACACGCACACAGAGCTGTTCACACACACACGCACACAGAGCTGTTCAAACACATACGCACACACACAGACAGAACTGAACAAGGAGGGCCTAGACGGACTAAGACACCCGACATAAACGCAACCCGTCCGCCGCGTGACCCAGCCGTGGCCCGGAAGCGGCGGGTCGGCCACTGGCGGCGCCGACTAACCTTCCCGGTGACACCGCCACCAGCTCTTCCGGCCCCAAAGCACGCCGATAATAATCATAACATTAACACGGCGAGGCCATCCGGGCAGCCAGCGCATCACGTGATCTCTGGTCGTGTATGACGGAGACAAGGCAACGATTACCTCGCAACAAGGCGAGTATTATCAGGGCATTTAAGGAAGCCTCCCGGTCCCGCTGCGTGAAACAGACACTCAGGAGTTCCCCGAGGACGTCCGGACAGACGGGTCGCTCCGGTGCTGTCCTGCAGCTGCAAGGTCGACTTCCGACAGCCTTCAGTTTCCCAAAGCAGCTATTAATAACCAGGCGATTTAATTACTTCACGGATGTGCTTCTCTACCAGTCTCGATATCTGCTTTTTACAATTCTATATTCTCTATTTTTATAGATTTCTCATTTATTATATTCTTATATATTCCTATGTATTTTATATTTTTTTATATTTTATATATTTTTTTATATTTTATATATTTTTTATATTTTATATATTTTTTCTATATGTTTTAGATTTTATACTTTATATATATTTTATATTTATATATATATATATATTTTTTAATGTATATGTATTTTTCCTTTTTTTTCTTTCTTCTCTTTTCTTTCCCGCTTTCAGCGCCAAAACCACAGCCCGCCAGCGCCACGAGGGCCAGGGAGAAACCCGCCCGAGCCAGAAGCCGAGGCAAGTCAAAGTTCCCTCGCCGGACAGGTCCCGCCGCCGCCCGCGCTTCGGAACCCGCGGTCACGATGCCTCTGTCTGTCTGGCCAATAAATCTGTCCGGACACATTGTCGCCGGGAAGAGCGACGGCGGCGGCGGAACAATGCCACGCCCGACGGAGGGATCGCGCCCGAGGGGGACCGACGGAAGTTCCAGGATGGGAAACAAAACTGGAGTAAAGAGACAACGACCCCTTCCCCCTCCCTTCCTCTCCCTCCCTCCCTCTCCCCTCGCCCCCCTCCTCGGCTCCGGGGGTCAGACGCCTGCCCGGATAACCTTTGGCTCCTGCGGCTCCACCAGACAGACGGCGCAGCAGCAGCAGCAGGAGGAGGAGGAGGAGGAGGAGGAGGAGGAGGAGGAGGAGGAAGAAGAGGAGGATGATGAAGAAGAGGAGGAGGAGGAGAAGA